ATGAAAAATACCACAGATGGATGGCATCTTGCCTCTTGGAGAGGCAGCAAAACCCAGCATTGGCACACCTAGCTGCTACTTTGGAAAAGAAAAATACACTCTGGCATAGTACCCATAAGAGTTGCCAACCCTTGTCCTACAGCAGTGATAACAAGCAAGAGCAAACAATTAAGCCCACTCTACAGATTAAAGCAAAACTTGAGCCAACAGTGGGTTTGGATCTGGAGTTCTCTGCTGAAATTGCCCTGAGTGCACAAAAGGCACTTCTGAAAATACACTTGGAAACTTTGTCCAAGCCTGCACCACAAACCCAGCTGTCTCTTACTGGATCTTCCAGCAGACGCTCTCAGATGACTAAGGCATCAGTGAATGCTTCTTAGAAAATCACCTAGGCTGCTGGCTCCCTGAAGCCTAAACGGGTACCTCAAAATAGCTATCTGTGCCTGGCCAAGCTCTCTGGAACACAGGCCTGGCTATTAGAGGACTGGGTCACCGCCACAGCCGTGATGCTCTGTTTACATAAAATCCTTTTTGTTCCTTTGGTGACCACATGTGTACTTAAGTCCTCACGACAAAACTTAGGAGGGAAGAATCTTGCTAGCTGACTTCTAGTTGTTGCAGAAGTAACTGGTCAACTCGCAGTATGAAATTAAGTCTTTTCTCAATAAATGAAGTATCATTTATATTTTTGTAAGCCCTGACCTTAAAGCAAGAAAATTTAGCTGAAGGTGCCCATCTGAATTAAACTTAACTCTGTAAGACTGTTTCAGTTCATGAAAATCATCCTGTTGGCTTTAGGTGCTTGCAGTACATGAACAGCAGGGAGTCAGTCAGCGACAGATCTCCAGCACTTAAGATGTGCCACTGGTTCCCTCCTTTCTAACTAGCCCCATCTTTTGTACAATGCTGCTGATGTGCTTTTAACAAGAACACATATGAATTAAATGGTGTTTAGAAAACGCGCGGTGTGCGTGCAGACCAGGTAGCTGCGCATAACATTGACAGTTCTGCAAACAAGGAGCCTTTTGTGCCTCTGTGTTTTGGCTAACCCATTAAGGCCCCGTGGCTGACGGGGTTGACATAAAGCACCCCTTGCACGGTGCTCTCTGTCATCACCCTCTGCATTCGCTGCCCCAGTATCTGAGCATCTTACCAAATTAAATATTAAACGTTCTAAAGGATATTGTTTCTTTTGTTCCTTTGGCAACTGAGATCTTGAGTGCTCTCAATTCTCCCTGACTTCCCATTTTGCAGGTTCATGTCTCAATGTTCTTTTAATGCTTAATTTAATATTCTGGAGTTCTTACTACACACTCATGTCTGTTACACAGAAAATTTGGTGTACAGTCTACTAGACAAGGAGATAGCTATTTAACGAGCAGCCATTTCTCATCAGCATCCAGACCCTAACCTACAAAGATGAAAAGTGCTGCGGGGAAGAGGTGGACGGGCTGCGCAGCGGTGGCTGGCTGGACAAGAAACCACATTTATTCTTAGCACCAAGGGTCACACCAAACCCTGCCACCGTTCACAGTGACAGCTCCTTACGTTAGCTGCGGGGAGCGCTCACTTTCAGAGACCTGCTGTAACTATGTAAATAATATTTAAAAGTGGTCGGTCTCCATATTAAAACACCAGTTCTAGGATACTGGATGTAGGTCACTGTTTCTTTTCATACACTTCCAACTAGTTTGATCAAGTAAGAGCAACTCTGTTTTTAAGCCTGAAATCAGAATGTGGGATTTCTTAACATTTTCACCATCTGAAACACAAGCAAGTCTTCATGCCACAAAAGCAAAAACCCCTTAGCTTTGGGAGCAAGGCTTCCCTGCACTGTTTCCATTGCATAACATCCTTCACGAACATATGGGCCAGCAAACAGAAGACGTCCGCTGCATAATTACAGCACTGACAAACCAATTGAACCTCAGCAGCTGCCACTGGGGAGATTTCATTCATTCCCAGTATTGCCTTTTAAACTTAAGTGGCACTGGAACAAACACATCTTTGATCCAAGTAGGAAATCATTTGGAGCTTTGTATTTAATAGAGCTGAAGCCCTGGGAAAATGATGTCTTTATTAGCCTGTATGACAATGTGGGCCTCATGGCAGGCACACAGCGGTTTGACGTGACAGTCCTCTTACTTTCTCAGATGTATTTGGACGTATTTGTTCTTGAATCAATGCAGAAACAAGGACTTCAATTCAGCTGCGCTGCTGAAGCGCCTATAAACGGCATGCATGACATCAAAAAGTATTCAGGAAGGGGAAGAGGGAGCACAATTTTGCCGGTTCCAAAATAGAGCTGGTATGTCTCTGTATTGCTGTCCTTGTGCTACTTCATGTCCTTTTTGGGGTCACTTGTTTCTCCCTCATCTCCAGGGGAATTACTGCACTAATCAGGGTGTTGCATACTCAAATACAGAGGAATATACATGGCCAATACTGTGCTATATAGACATATGTACTTAGGTATGCCTCTGTGTGTGCATATACCTTTAGATAATAGGACACCTCTTCAAATGTTGCTGAAATTTCTACCAGTACATTCGCTGATATAATTTAATGAAAAATACTAAAAAGCCATGTGAAGAATCCAGTAAGGATACATTTTGGTGTGTTCCAGGCATGCATATTGTAACCTGCAAGATTAGAATAAATCCTGCTCTGACTGGAAGCCTAGTGAGGAGGAGGTAGTGGTATGTTGCCAGCTGCATGTTCAATGTGAGGTTTTTCTCTCCTGCTATATATTAGTTGTGATGCTACTGTATGAGCTAATCAGCGCAAGGCCTAATTATAATTATGCTCCTCTTCCTGAATAGAGCAATGTCTATTTAGACCCGAGTACGTACCCGGGCATGTTATGGGGATATTCTTAAAGGACACCAGCCCTTTGTTGTGTATCATGGTAAAGAAGAAAAAGATTGACACCTTATACTGAGGCAAAGGTAAATATATCTTCGCAAACTTTGCAACAGTAAGCTAAGACAGCAGTAAGATCTATAAAATATTCAGTAACGATTCATGGAAAGTAGTCACTAAAAATTCCTAATTCATTCACTTGCAGTAGTTCATTGACTTTGGTTTGGCAATATAGTTAAAGAAGCTGTCTGGGTTTTCTTCCTAAAAAGATAGCGTTGGGACTATATTCTAAAATATCATCTTGCTGTTATTTTTTAAAAAACTATTCCCCTGGATCCTTCAGAAACTACTTAAATGCTTTGTTTCTTAGAAGGTTGCTTTAGAAATGCAAGCAAGAGAGTTCCCAACAAAACCACTTTATCTTATTCGCTGGTGGAGGTAATTGTAAATACTATAAATCTAAATATTACTCTTAGCTACAAACAATTATATCAACTGAGAAATGGAAGCTGGCTCGCACACAGCAAAATCTGACATGCTTACAGTAAGACAGCAAGCAGCTTGCAGATACACACATCTAATGGAGAATTTCTAGATGCTCTGCATGTGTATCCCTATCTCTTTTAGGGCCCCTTTTTTCATTTAAATGAACTGTGCTCAGACTATGAAATTCCCCTGTCTGGAGTCATCTAGCGTCTGTGTAATATCCATTTAAATGGCAGATGCAATGGAAGACAACCTGACGACAGAGGACATAGGTGATGAGCTAGCATTTCAGTGAACAATACCTCAGCCTGACAGGTGAGTGATGGAGAAGCTTTAGAAATAATGCATGAGCTTCAGGCTCCCTGTCCACGTTAGTCTGTTACAGTGCTGCTCACCTGGTAGCTGCCATTTCATTTACCATTGATCTCCCTTACAATGTCAGCTGCGCTGCTGGAAGAATTAGTATAACACAGCAGCCTGATAATGGACTTGGGAAAACCAGGTTACTGGTGTGCTTTTGAGAGAAACAGGCTTTCCGGTTCTGTGAGTTACGCAGAGCCCTCAAGGTTGCAGCATGAGTGAGACCTCTTTGAAAACCTGCTTGCTGAGCCATCAAGACCCCCTAAGTGGTTTATTAGGAAACTGGCACCATCATTAGAGAGTAATAAAATAAAATCATTGTAAGGAAATGAAAAAGCATTCCAGTCCATTTCTGAGCAGATTTGTAGCATAGGAAAGCGACTGAACTGCACTAATCTTTCATTGCAAAAAATGCCCCTGAATAAAGAAAAAAGAAATGTAGAACTGCAGCTACAGAAAAGAACAGAAATTATGTTTATCTCCCTGTCCTAGGATAGCACGGGGAGATGTGCTTGTAAGGACGGTTGTTTGTATAAATAAATGTTCATTCTTGGCAGTGGAATGCAAACTATGCTGAAGGGCTGGAAACAGACCACTTTGTAAAGCTGAGGCCAGAGTAAGGGAAAGATGAAGCGAGGTTGTGGGGAGGAAATTCACATTCATTTTTAGCAACTTGGAGAGTTTCTCAAGCATGTTTGACATTTTTAATTATGCTGATGCAGAGCCTATTCCAAGGACAAAAGAAGTCAGGATTACAGGATAAACAATTAGGAAATTTCATACCAGCCGGCTAGGGGTAGTGTTGCCTGCGAGTCTGGAGACTTTGCTGAAACACAGAATCATCTTTCATACTTTCTAGACAGATGGAATTTGAATGTCTTGCAAAATCTTCACCTAGGTCAGGAGACTCAGGTCGTGGTCTTACAAACTTTGATAAAAGGCGTGCTTTTTGATAGCCCACATTAGACAGGAAAGAGATTAGTCTGAACTGCTGCTATTTGTCCAGGCTTTCCTGCAAGGTTTCCTGAGAGG